GTAAATAAATACACGAATAGAATTTAATAAATTTTGAGTTCATTTAAACTTGTGTTTAAAAAAAAATTAATTAATAAATTCTATACAGTATTGATACCCTATTTAAATACGGTTTTTAAGAAAATAGCTAAATGAAATAATGTGTTGATGTAAATACACTCTGGTCCAGAAAGATAAAATTTGTTTACTGTGCATTAAAATAAAAGCCCCAACCGGCGTACGCGTCGACGCCAACTTCTGCGTTCGCGTCACCCGTTTCATTGGACTTGAAAAACGCGTTCGACACCCGATTAACCGGCCCCCGCCCGCGATTAACCTTCAAATAAGTTTGTCATTTGTCTAAGTCCCCTCCCCTCCCCCCAGTCGCTCCCCCCTTTTCAGCGACGCCGAATCGTCTCTTTTGTGAAGTTTCTTTTGATTATGTGCACTTGTCTTTTGTCGCCACTTCACTTCAGTCACAATCGTAGTCACACAGTAGCATACATAAAAAGGAGTATGGGCAAAACTGAATGGGTTAATTGGTTAATGTGTCGTTTCTGTAGTAAACAGTCGAAAAGCTCCCTCCAATCAACTAATCTTATCTTGAGTGCTGTTTCGAAAAGCTTCTAGCTTTGTGATTTATAATGACGATTTCCGCCAAAGAAAAATGCAATACATACTAATACATATCTCTAAAAATGTAAACCTAAGCATTCTGTGATTCAGTTTAATAATATCATAGTTAGTACTTCATGAGTCATTAGTAGCAAAAAAGAATTAAAAGTTTTTCTTATCAAGGCTGCCTCATACTAATCCGTCATTAATTCGTAACGTTTCTTATAAGTGCTGAATATATAAATTCGGCCGTTTACCTGATATTTCCTATATGCAATTAAACTTCCCTTCGACTTTGATCGTTATTGGTGGAACAGTTTTTAATGGCTTGAGGTTGGTTGCCCATTCAGGGATTTCTTAATCGGCTCCGCCATGACTTATTCCATGCACTTGTCGTGCCTTACCGCCTATTTCTCGGTTTGTGCCTCATGAATTCGGTTGACTCACGAATTGACATCGATCAAAGGAGGGCAGACACATCGCCAGTCTTTGTACTTGACTATATGTCTGCCCACCCCGCAATTGTCGTTAATTAAGCTCTGGCGATCGCAGCCTTTTGCTTCGATTTGCCATGATAATTTATACGCACTTGGGGAAACCTTTCGGTATTCTTTTTTAATTGCCCAAGTTTTGCTTTCAAGTGTCTGGCGGCTGCTTGCCTAGGTGTTCCTTCGCCCAATAGACAATTATCAGGCGTGTCAATAAAGTAAACAATCGGGCAATCCAGTTGCGGTGAATGCGGTGCAGTGCGGAATAGTGTGAATCCATCTGGATAAATGCACCGCTCGATCGGATGACGTAACTCGCGCCCGGTTGAGTGGCCTCTAGTTTGCCGCCTTCGCGATTATGCATTCTGTATGAATATCCGACGGGTGAACGGTTCCAACCGGTTACAGATGCAGATACACTTACAGATGCGATTGCATCTCAGCGATGGCAATGGCAAATTGGGGCTGAGATTGTCAGTCTCGATACAGTAGAGGCTCCCACGGGCGGAAGATCAAACAAGTTTACTTTATTTAAAGTGTAAAACTATGTTAAGTTAATTGAAATAATGATCCAACGATCTAGAACTTGTACCTATAACACTTAACAGAAAATGATCCACAAATCAAATTCAGGATTACATGAAGTGATTATTAAAAAACTGTGTAAAATAAAAAATACTTGAGTTTGGAAAGAGTATTCCTGGAAAGAACAACCATTTCGATTGAAACTCAGCTGTCTCCAGTTCATCTCGAACTCCAGCGTAATTTAACCCAGCTCTATTTGCGTCTTGGGGTTTAAAGAGTTGCTGCCCCACATTTGGCTTGTGCGGTGAAGTCGGCCTTTTATGTATGCCATTTACTTCATCGCACCCCGAGCTATCGTGTATCAATGAGACGTTTATGTGATGCCATTATTCTGTCACGTTTCTATGCTCATTTCGGCAGTTTGGTTTTTTTTTCTGTTTCTGCGGCTTGGGCTGGCCCTTTTTGCCTCGAGTGTTAGACACAAAGAACTGGGGAGTCAGACCACAATAACACTATTATAGCGACCAGACCCCAAGACGGAGCTAGTTAGACAGGCCGTGTTTATGGCCAGAGCATTACATCATCCGCATCATATCATGATTGGGGTGACAGTCAACACTGCTTGTGGCCAATTCTAGTAGTGAAAGTTCCTTTGCTTGAGGTCTTTCTTGATATTTTTGTACTTGTAAACGTAGACATAAGACCTTATTGAAATCCTTGAAATCCAATAGAAGAAAAAAGTTTAATAATACAGAATAATTTGGTACGGTAAAATAGAAGGTCAGTACGTCTTTCTTATAAGGGCGTTTATAATTCCCAACTGGTTTAGTTTTAAGGAGGTTTACTTAGATAATTTTTTTTACATTTATTTACATCACTTAGCTTTTTCCAAAACTGAAGCAAATGTTTTCTTTTAAGAACCTATTTAAAGTGCCTTTCATCGAGAATCTGGGTGTGTGTGTGCTACCTCGTTTTTCCTGTATCTTATCAGTTTTTTTTATTGCTGTTCTTGTTGTTGTCTTTCGCCGTGTAGTTGTTGACTGCATTCTGGCCCGCCGTTTGTGGCTATTAACTTATCGTACGACTCGGTTATATCTCCGCCACTGTGGTTGTTGTTTCAGCAATTTCAACACCTTTGGACACTTACACCGCCGTTACTTTCGACATCGTCAACAACAATAACCCGCCCTCACCCACACCGAGTCGTATATAGGCGGGTATATAGCTAAATACTTCCACAGTTGATAGCAGTTATGGAAAACTACGATATGGAGGGGAAGGAGGACGGAGGAGACAAGGGTCTTCCATTGTCTATTGTGGATGTGTCGTAGATGTGCCTTTGTTTCTGGGCGCAGTTTAGTCATTGTCTGATATTAAGCAATATTTCCAACTACACCTACTCTCGATGAGATACATTTTCATTTCCATTTCCCTCGCTGTTCTTCTTCTGTAATAATCAGCCCAGTTAGTCGGTCTATTTGGCCATTTGCTCGATTTCATCATCATCAGCGGATAAAATAAACAGCTATTTTGATGCCCAAGTATCAGCATAAAAATAACTTATATGTAATTATGGCCATATGTGTGTCATAGGGACACAGTATTCTCAGAATATCTGAAAGGCTGAAAATGTTTTTATTTTTGTAAATACATAAACATCATGTTTACTTATTTATCAGCCTTTGGGAATATCAGAAAAAATAATTAAATTTAAAACAGAACAAATACTGGAAAAACTCAGCTGTCGGATAAAAAATTTCCATATTCGCCATACAATCTTTGTAAGTTGCTCATGCTAATAAAATATTCAAAGCGTTACATAAGACTTCATTTCGAGACAAATAAAAGTCAAGAGGAGCAGAGAAACCCTGTTGAACTTATACTTTTTAAAAGTTCTTAAAGGTGATTGACTAAGAATAGGTGTAAATCACGGTCTCGTGCCTTTGCTCTATCAATTAAGCTTGGTTATAAATAAAAAACGGAGATAACCACCTGATACTCGAGTGCTTTTGTCTACGAATTTCGAGTGACTAGCGACTTTTTGGGTATGATATGCATTAACGTACGAATAAAAAAAAAAACACCTACCTGATTACAATTAATATCTTGTGCGATGTGGCAACAGCAAAAGCCTTTTAATTGATAGATCAATATCACGATGATTGCTTTTGTGCGTAGCAGCATATGGCGAGGCCTATCGCAATATTTTCGGGGTAAATGGCACACGAGAGCGAAGTTGGGAAAGCCGTGTTGCTTATCTGAAGTGATAAAAAAATGGAGGTGGGGATGGGGGGAGGTAAGTGCACATGGGCAGCAACATGTGTGCTCAGGGCCGCTCCAATGGGGGCTCATATGCCCCAATTCGAAGTCCCTTCGCCTAGTCAACTTCCCCGGGGTGTTTTTTTTACCATATGTTTCGGAATCGCTCGATTCGCTGGACACAACAATAATAAATATATCATTAGGGCAAGGTTCTTGGTCATTTTCGGACCGACTACATATGCTAAATTCCCTTGGCTCTGTGGTCTTGTGTTGTGTCTGGCTTTTCTCCTTTGGCTAATTGATTCTTGACCAGCTCTGAATATTTGAAAGCCATTCGCCTTATCTTCGGCAAGGTTAAAGCCGAAGCTCCACACCCACCCACCTTTATCCACTTCGTGCCAATACGGAACTGATGAGTTCGAATTTCAATTTTATTTATCACCAATTTTTTATGCACCCATTAATGGCGCTTCGTTTCCATTTCCATTTTTTTTTTGTTTTCGCCATTTAGTTTTAGGTTTTCGCTCGACGCAGTCAGAAATGCGAATTAAAATCGAAACGTGCAAATATATTTGCGGCCTATTCTGCGATATGGAAGCGAGGTGTTTATATGTAAAATAAAATACGACTACCTGGGTCCAATAAAACCTATTTTTTGTAGGGCCTGTGTGTGACGTTTCCTAAGAACTTCTTGTGAAATTGCAAGACCCCAAATAGAAGTCGTCTTATCGGGCCACAAAACACGTCACTTTGATTGGCCCAGTGTGTAAATTGAGTGTGCGAGTGTGCAGGTGTGTGTGTGTGGGTTAATGGTTTGTTTGCCACTATTTCTCATTCGATCGGAGCAGTAATAAAGTCGTCGCACGAATCGGTAATCGACTAAGAGCTTTTCCAAGTGAACGTGTTTTTCAGTTCTCAGTCATGAAAAATATGTGTCACGCGGATATAGGAAAACTGAGAAAGGGGAATTTGATATACTGTAGCTTATTTTGCTTTTATTAAATGAATAAATGTAAAAATGTATTTTGTTTGGATTTGATTAATGATAGAAAATACATATTAAGAAAAATTAATACGGTTGATGCAATATTAACTAAAAATATTTGTTTAAGTTGTAGATTAATTTTATTTTGTAGCTTCTTTATTTTTATGCTTTTATTGAGTTTCTAATTTATTCTAATTTTATACATATATGTATATATGTTCGTTTGAAGGAAGGCTAAATATTTAAGGCTACATTTGCCCTGAAATAAGTGCCTTGCAATTTGTCCGATTACAGGGTTTTAGCCTCGCCTTGAGTTCCCCCAATCTCAGTAAGCCATCGCAGGGCATTTAAATTGAGACTCGAGCACAAACCATTTAGGACGACCTTTTCCACGGCGCCTCTGACCTGACACGCAAATTTGGGGCGACAAAAAGCGAAAGGTACCGCAGATCGATAGGAAATGAGGGGGAGGTCCTTGGCATTATTTGGCACTTGATGGAAAAACTATTACTTAGAGTGCCAGAGCCAGCAAACCCAGTTTAAAAAAGCACTCCATCTGGGGCCTTAATGCGGGTGGATTCTCGTTATCTGGCAGAACAACAACCACATCAACCGAACTGGGAAGTTTAATGGGGGCTACCTGTGGGGGAAACGGCTCGCCGCCTCCCAGCAAATATGTAATGGAAAACAAATGCGCACAATTGTCTGATATCCCCGTGTACACAAGCGAATGACTATATAGTCGAATGCATATGTGTTTTGCTTAGGCATTTCGAGTTTTATCAGCACGCTTCACCGATATCATGCGGGAACAACGGGGGGGCGGTGGGTGGCATAATTATAATCACAACTAAGTTCATTTGTTTAAATGCCTAAAGAGTCGCGCTCCGGTCGACTGATAAATTTGTTTAAAGTTGGTTATGCCCATGAGCACGAGCCGAGCATTCATGAGCTACGCACTTTTTTAAGAGCTCTTTGCATAAAAAATACATAGAGGAAAACAAATATGAAAAGGCCTGTTGTTGATTCTTAGTTTTGATAAGCATTGTTTTTTTCATGCTTTCAAAGGGGAAATTAGATTATGGCACGTGAAAGTATTTAAACTTGATAATTACACGTTCTTTGTCTAGAAAGGCTTTGCTTAAAATACAAACTCCTTGCTAACTAAATAAAAAATTGGTTTTATATTTATTGAAAGTAATGGCGGATGAGATGGTTTTTTATAAACCTTCTTTTTTATTGTATTAAATGATTACTAAGTTACACATTTATTTAATTATCAAAATTCAACAAATTAACAACAAGATGCAATAAATATAAAGTTATAAGTATCTACTGTAATGATGTGGTCCAAATCGTAGTCCTTGTTTGGTGGCAGTGGAACAATGAGTCATATGGGATCGAATAGGATCGTAGTAGATCATGTTTATGCTGGGAAGAGGGCTTACAACTGCCACTCCTTTTGACCGCACACGCATTGGCGGATCCTGCGATCCAAATTGCGAATGATATTGAGGAGCTCCTGGCAGAGTTGATCCTGCTCAGGACAACCACTGCATTTCTTACCCCCTGGACCGCAACCACAACCATGTTTGGGTGGGCGAGTGGTTGTCCTTCGGGTGGTTCTACAAGTGGACTTTCGTGTGGTCCTTCGTGTGGTCCTTTGAGTGGTCCTTCGTGTGGTCCTTTCAGTGGTTTTGCGAGTGGTAGTTGGAGCCGCAGTTGTTGTCCTTTTGGTGGTGGTTGTTGTCGCACAAGGGGTTGTTGTGGGTCTTGTAGTTGTTGGTGTAGTTGTTGGTGGTCTTGTAGTTGTTGGTGTAGTTGTAGGTGGAGCACAGGTGGTTGTTGTTGTCGTTGTTGTTGTTGTTGTTGTTGTTGTGGTTGTTGTTGTTGTTGGAGCACAAGTGGTTGTTGTAGTCGTTGGGGCACAAGTGGTTGTTGTAGTCGTCGGGGCACAAGTTGTTGTCCTCTTGGTGGTAGTTGTTGTGGTTGTTGGTGCACAAGTTGTTGTTCTTTTAGTCGTTGTTGTGGTTGTTGTTGGGGCACAAGTTGTAGTTGGTGGAGCACAAGTTGTAGTCGTTGTCGTTGTCGTTGTCGTTGGTGCACATGTTGTTGTTGGTGGAGCACATGTTGTTGTCGGTGGTGCACATGTGGTTGTCGTTGGATCAGTGCAACCACAAGAATTTCCTGTGGTGAAGCCCACCAAACTTATAACCAGGATACCAGCTGCAAAAGAGGAAAAACCATAAAATTGTATTTTACTTTAATGTTTTATCCTTTTGACAACCATGAAAGTTATCTCCGTTTAAGGATATTTTCTACCCACCAATAACAGTCGCCTTCATACTTAAATTACTTGAATATTTAAGTTCTTCTGAGGTGAATCCACAAACTGATACCTTTCTTCGTGGAAACTTCTGCTTTTATAGGACCCAAGCAGCTTTTGTTTTTGTGCAGTTTGAACAGGGAATTTTAAAAATGGATTAAACACCATTCAACGAGTATTTATGTAAACAAGAACTGCAGTTGAGTTCGGTTCTGCAAATATTTTCGAAACGTGCCAGTTATTCTTACTAAATTCTGGGTTTTAACAGAGGCGCGTGCTAAATATTTGCTCAAGTTCAAGGTTTTTGCCATCCTCAGAGGATCATTGCACATTGGGTATCATTTTATGAAGTTTAAAGAACCGAGTGTTCGATATATTGAATATTTTAATTCTTTTGAATTCCAACTAAAGCCGTTCAAGTTATTTATATATTATCTTGAGCTTTTATGGTGTCATTTTATTATGAAATGCTGTGTGAAATACTTATTTATAGTGTAAACCCTTTGTAATTTCTATTTTTCTTATCATAACTTTGTTCCCCTAAAGGTCATTCGGTTTCTTTTTTATCAATAAACAATTCCTTAATATAACATTGAATAGCTTAAGTGACTTATAGTTTTTTTTTTTTTTTTTCGATTCTCTGAGAAATTTTTCTTCACCAAGAGAACTTTTGGTTCCGGGGTCGTTTGAGGGTAATATTTATCAAGCGATAACATTTGAAGCGAGTTCGCGGTTCGGTTCGGTTGGTTAAATCGGATTCGATTTTGGTCTAATTATTTCGAATGCGAACCGCAGGAGGCAAGATGACCAAAGCAACGTAAACAATACCAAAAAATGAAAGAAACTCTAAGCTCAAAGGTGCCAACAAGAATAGGAGTAACGTTTGTATCTGAATCGGATCCAAAGAGAAAACTAAAAAGTTCGCCATCAACGTCGACCTCAACAATATCAACAACAACAACAACTACAACAACAACAACCACCACAACACCCCCACCGAACCAAACTTCTTATGTAATTAAATGTCTGTTGAGAACGGCGCGTTTTATGTGGCAAGTGACGACAATACCCTCTAAAATCGGTGATACCATAGGTACCCTGTACCGTTATGCTCAGGACTCTGTCGATAGTTTTCTATGCGTAGCTGGGTGAGATTCCTTTTACAGATCTTCTATATCTATATGAACCTTAGAAAGTAAATAATATTATCCATGATCGTCATTTAATTGTATTATGTTTTCTTTTATCTTTGCAGCAAGGCCCGTCGCAAAGAACGCGATGGCGATCAAAATTCAACAGACACCAAATTGTATTTGGAGGAGAGTGTCCTAGAACGTAAATTACCTGAAGCTGATCTCAAAGCCTTAGTGGATCTTCCAGCTGGTTTGGACTACAATGAATGGCTAGCGTCACACAGTAAGTTAAGATTTAAACACTTAAAAAATAAGTGAAAACATTAACAATAAATAATAACTTTGAATTTAAAAGAGCTGTAAAATTAATACTATATAAAACGATAACCAAGAAAGGTTTACGAATTAAATACCATTACTTTGACTTTAAAATAACTGTAATATATTTATTGAAAGGATGATATCATGACTGATATATAAATCCATCATTATAGCAAACATGTTTATTGTTTTGTCTATATCTTATTGCACCTCGACCCACACCTTGCTATTTGAACTTCACGTGATGTTTTGTGTTTGCTGATTTTCTTTTCAAATTGCCTTTATTTACCCACATCTGTCATTTGCCTCCATTGTTGGCAGCTTTATCGTGTGATTTACAAATGAGTTTAACGAGCGGCTGGCCCCAAGCGATTTCAGCTACTGGTTGGCAAAAATTTGATAGTCTAATCGCCACTGGCCACTCGGTGGCTCCGGTCGAGTGCCCCGGTTTATGGAGCACTCCCCACAATGCACTATATAGTATGATACATTATCGTTAAGCCAATGAACTTGAACTGAAGATTTCTGTCTGGACGATAGCCATTATCTGCTGCAGTTTTAAAAGTGCCAGGGTGCAAATAAATTTAGAAAAATATATGATCAGGTGGTTGCTTTGTTTCAAAAACGCTTTGTTAGAATTCTAAATTTGAAGGAGTGCTATTTTAGGATTTGTTGGTCATAAAAACTCATTAAAAAATAATAGATTCTCGTTGTTATTCAAACATTTTAATCGCTGTCATAAACTTGTATGTGTTTTCTTCGTTAGTCAGAACGGCACCCCTTCTTTAATTAAATTTTAATATACCCCTAAATCCCGCATAAGCCAATATACTGTGAGTCACAGCTTAATTAGTTTCTTGCCCCTCCTCACGGAGGAGTCTTTATTTTTTTCGGTTACATCATTGGAGGAGAGAACAGGGCAGAGAATCGATTTTGAGAAATTACATCATCTTGTAAATAATCTGTTTGCTGGGTGGCAGAATGCAAATTACACAGCTCTTTGTTGACTCAAATGAGGCAAATAATTGGCAATGTATCAGCAAATTGCGGCCACCAAAGGCACCCGGGGGCATTGCAAACACAATTCCCTCGGTCTTCAGCCTCTTTTTCCCCTATATCCACCGAAAAACCCTCTTCATTATCTTCCCTTCGTTTTGGAGAAACAAAACAATCAAAGCCAAACTGTTTGTCGTGGGCGATGATCAGGGTCATTTCACGTCGCCCGATGGCGTCAGCTGCAAGTTCATATGCAAATTTAATATTTGAATTTGCTGACTTTACGGGCGGGCAGTCCCCCTGGATTTTCCCCCTTGGCTTATTTCGGAATCGGGGTCTAAGAAAAGCGAGTTAAGCCATCGGTTTATTTTGCTCCAATTCTGCGGCTGGCATTTCATAATGCAGCGCTCTCCCACTGACGTAATGGGGACACTTGTGCAAATATTGAGTCGGCATTGACCTTACCGGGTGGCTCCGCTCAATAAATATCATCGTATGCTGACGGTGGGCTCTTATCTCTGGAAACCACACACACTGAAAGAAACCACTGTCTCTTTTCGATGATAAGATTGCTTTTGCTTTGAAAGTTGAAAGTTATCTGTGCACCTGCTAAAAGTGTTGCTGGACAAAAAGAGTTGGCAGGTGTTTAGCAGGTTGTTGATCTTCATTTATTTAGTTATAGAAATGTTTGTAGTTCTGTGATTCTGTTAATCTTGTTTTTAATCCACTTTGTGTTATCACTTGGAAACAAAAAACAGAGCATATGGTTTAGTATTTTCAGTCTTTTAAACATCTTATTAAATAATTATTTTATGTATATCATATTTTAAAAATTGTTTACTTTTAATGGGCTTATGATTTTTTAAAGTTATTATTTTATGATTAGAAATTTTAACCTTGTAACAATCTGTTGAAATTCCTGTTTAACCTAATTAATCTTTTATCTTCTCTATTCTTTTAGCCCTTGCTCTATTTGAGCACGTGAACTTGGTCTATGGAACTATTAGTGAATTTTGTACACAATCCGGATGCGCCGACATGACCGGACCCGGCAACAGGTGAGTCCAGCGGAACACTTTCTATTCAATGGAGCCATCAACTAATTGCATAATAAATCGATTCACAGAACGTACTTATGGTTCGACGAGAAGGGCAAGAAGACGCGCGTCGCAGCTCCACAGTACATCGACTACGTGATGACGTTCACCCAGAAGACGGTCAGCGATGAGTCGATATTCCCAACCAAATACGCCAACGAGTTCCCCGGCTCGTTCGAGTCGATCGCGCGGAAGATACTACGCTTGCAATTTCATGTGATAGCGCATCTGTATGCGGCGCATTTCCGAGAAATCGCGCTGCTCGGCTTGCACACCCATCTAAATCTGACGTTCGCGCACCTCACCGCCCTCCATCGGCGCTTCAATCTGATCGACGAGAAGGAGACGGACGTGCTGCGCGACCTTGAGGTGGCACTGCGGCTAACCGACACCGACACCGGTGGCTGTCCGGATGCCACCTCCACGTCGTCCTCGTCGGTTCACGACCACTCCGCCGGCGATCTGCCGCAGCAACAGCAACAGCAACTGCAGCAGCAGCAGCAACACCACAACAGCAGCAGCAACAGCAACAGCACCTCGTCGGCGGAGGCGTTGCACGTCAATTCACAAAGCAACAATGGCAGCACATCCGCCTCGGCATCGGCATCGGCATGCGTCTCCCTCATCGATGGCGATGCGGTGGCGCCGCCGATCTGCACGCAACCCGAGGCGGGAGCGGGCTGCAAGCCGGCGGGCAGCAGCGGCCTGCTGGGCGGCATACTGGGCGACCTGACCAGCGGCGAATTTGGTGATACAACGCGTTACTGCACATCGGCGGTTCCTCCTCAGGCGGCGGCAGCGGCAGCAGCAGCAGCATCGATCGGTGGCACAGATGCTGCCGCATTGAACAATGGCGGCGCGGGCGCACTACATTTAAACTTTAGCAACAATAATAACAATAATCATAATCTGAATCACTTGAACCATCACCACCACCATCATCACCACCATGGCCACCATGGCCATCACCATCATGCGGCGCAGCATCAGCAGCAGCAGCAGCATCAGCACAGTGGGCTCATTCAGTGCAATGCAGCTGGCGGTGGAGGTGGCGTCAATCCATCTGGGGTAACCACCGGCGGAGCCACTGCAGCAGCCTCCTCAACCACCACGGCATAGTGGAGCAGTAGCTACAACAGCAGCAGCAGCAACAGCAACAACAAAAAACATTAGAAATACTAGATTTACGCAAAAATGTTATTTAATGTTACTTCTATGATCCTAAAGTTGAAAATATTGTAAAAATAATAAACAAAACAAAAAAAAAAAGAAAAACATTAAAGTGCAACAGCAGCTAATTTGCAAAAACAACAAACAAAAACAACAACAAGCAGCAGCCATTACACACAAGCTACAAAATTATTAAGATAGCTAATCGAAGTTGGCATCGTAGTTCCGTAACGTTGATTTAGATATGTACTTATTGTATAGAAAAGCAAGAGAAGAAGAAGAAGAGAAAGAGGAAGAAGGAGCTGCAAGCATAGAGTTTAGAGTTGTCGCGTGCTTATGCTTTACACGTATTTTAACCTTACTCTTCTACAACAATTAAAATGTCCTGACTGAAGCCTGAGTGCAAATACAAAGTCAACGCCTTGAAGGCAACAATAATAAAAGAGTTTTGAACTACTCCCAAATGTTGAGAAAAAGTCACTTTTAGAAAAGATTATACAGCAAATTATACACCTTTTTTTCTCTGAGTGCTTTCCAATTTTATTTTGTTGAAATAATCTTTATTGCCGAACTTATTAATTGGAGTCTACGTTTATAATTTATTCCTGCAAAAAGGATCACATTTACCCAACTATAATTATTGTAGATGTTCAAAAAAAAAACATTTGAATTTTTTTTATCTTGTAGAAACGATACATATTCCTATTTTTTTGAAAGTGCAAATGAAATGGTCTAATGTTTTAGTTTCGGCACTAACCTAAGCAAGATCACATTTTAAAATAGAGCGTACACTGGTTCAATTGTTCAAAGACATAGGCACACAAATTCCACTAGGCGATGAACCGCAGTTTTAAAATAGGAACTCACCCGTATTTACAGGCAGTGTACTTGGCACCGAGCGCCTGGAAGTATGCACCGAAAAGTCACCCACACGAACTGCGATCAGGTGTCTTAACGGTATGCACCGAATATTTCACAACTTACGTACCACACCTCACCCACACACACTCAAGATCGCACCGAAATATCTCCGAAAAGTATGCAGCGGATAAAACACACACACAATCCACTCAGTTGGGATCCACACGTTGTTAAAGTATGGCAATTTTAAACCAAGTTTGTATTGATTGGAAACATTAAATAATAAAGATATAGGGAAATATGCGATTTATGCTTCGGAGGACTTCTAACCAAATGAAATGGAAAAAAGGGACTTGTATGTTGTGCTGTGTTTGTGTTGTGTTTGTAATAACCCATAGCGAAAACAAATGGCAATGAAGGAAACTTACTTTAGAAACAGAAAGCGTTTGATGTAGAATATTAGAGGCAAATTTTGTGTATTACAAATGGTTCACCTGTCCCGATGTAGATAATGCAACTTGATCCACACCAGTTTCACTGAACTACTGTCCAGGCCTAAGCTACAAAACACTATACTCTTAACGAACACACAAACACACACTTTCGATCTGTTGAACTTTCAATGCGATGCAATGAACTCAAACAAAAACAAAAACAAAAACAAAATGAAGACACACGGTAAAAGATACATGTATTTATATGTAGGTATGTGAGTTATTAATAGAATACAGGTGGAAAGGAAATTGAATGCTAAGACAAACCTTTTAAGTCGGCAAAAACAATTAAATGCAAAAATGGCGAAAGCAGAGAGATGAGAATAAAATAAACTGTTATGTTCAATTGAGAGGCGATGTTTTATTACTGGTTTTATGTTGGGTATTAAAAACTCAGATCCGAAACTCAAAACATTTTTCATAGCAGTACACTTCATTCATTCAGTAAGTAAAAATTTTTTTGGCTTCTCGAAAGGAATACTTCTTCACACCAAATTTTCTCGTTCAAAAATTTGAGGGGTTTTTTGGATTCGCTTGGTTAAGATGAGTACCTGGTAAGAGGCCATCCAAATTGATAGAGTGTTATTATTTTGATATAACTAAATCGCAGGTCCATTCGTACATCCCTTCGTACCAGGTTGCGGGATTCCCTCGCCGAGCTTGGCCTTTCGAATCGCCACTCGGACTGCAGTTTTGTGATCGAACTCGAAGGCGGTAAAAGCAAATCCTTTCCGTGCCACAAACTGATCTTCAGCTGCGCCTCGGATGTTTTCGATCGAATGCTCTACGGCGAATATAATGAGTCGACCAGCGGTATGGTAAAACTAAGCGATGTTGATCCCAATATTTTCGAAAAGTTCCGGGACTACGTGTATGGCTACGACTGTGAGAAGCTGCCGAAATATGACTTTGATACGATAATCCGACTCTGCGAGTTTGCCAACAAGTATCTGGTTCTGTCCCTCGAGGAGGATTGCATTAGGGAGTTGATGGTGCGCAAGGACACTTTCGATTTGGGGGAGTTACTTCGACTATTTCAGTGTGCCCATCGGGTGAATCGAAAATCGCTGATTGATACAATGTCCTGGGACCTCAAGACTACTTTCAAACGATCCTTGGATCACACGGGCATTTACGAGTTCAATTGGGACGTCTTCAAGCACTACATCGAAGTTATTGAGGGGAAAATATCCGAGGCGGAGCGTTTTCGCCTGCTCGAAATGTATCTTAAATATAATGGCTTCGATATCGCCGATTTTGTAACTCAGGTGGAGAAAGCAGAAAGTACTGAAACCGAAATTGATGTTCCATCAACCAGTTGTCCGCCAGTCGAATGCAGTTCCAGCAACCCAAGCAAGGAGGCCATACAGCCAAGATACGTAACTGATCTGATCAAATTGATTGACTTCAGTAAGTTCTCGGCCAAAGAGTTCTACGATGGTCCCGGCAAGTCCACTTTTCTCAGCCTGGCCGAGAAGTACGAGTACATGTATCAGATCGCGAAGAACTCGCTTCTCTCGAAGAGTTCATCCGCTGCGGAGCAACTTCTCTCTGAATCCCGACGAGTGATCACTCTGGGTGGAACTCTGGTTCGCGAGGACCCAACAAGTGCTTCGCTCTCCTCGCCATTCAGCCCTCGACCTGTTCGTCGCTTCCGCACCTTCACGTCCAATAGCGATGGTTTTGGACCTGAGATATAGTGATATCACAAATAAATGGGCATTGAGATGTTATTTTCCTTTTCAGGATATGTAAATTATGTATATGTAAGGGAAATAAATTAAAAAATACTCAATACAAGTTAAAATAATACAATACAAGAAATATTAATAATTTGCAATCCAAAGATTAAGTATGTATAAGAATTTTGAACATATGCCTCTTAATCAGTTAACAAATTACTGGCGTCCCAAAACCTGTTTACAATTTAGAAACGCTGATAAGCAATGCTGTCCCGAACCGCAATTTTACTTCTTATCAAAAATTTTGCCACTTGCAAAGTATTTTAATCACTCAAAAAAATATCAGTACTTTTATTAATAAAGTACTTTATAATCAAACCCAAATATACATTTAAGCAAGTTTTAACAAAGCGCTCTGTTTAGCTTCTGTTGTTTAATTCAGATTCTTTTGATTCTTTTTTAAGTGTAGCTGTTTATTTATCCCTCTGTGAAAGTAAACACAACCCACAAAAAATATAATTCAGCTGGAAGCCGTACTTTCAGAGCGAATTGTTCGTTCTGCTCACAGTTCTCATTTCAGTTGTGTTTGGATAACGAAGCGAGCCAGTCGCATCATCAGAGTGAGCTGGAAATCAGATCGCCGGCTAATTGAGGAAATGGCAATCTCCGCTTGGACGCTTCTGGTGGCTCTTATAGCTTGGCGATCGGGAGCGGAGGTTGGGGCCCAGGTGCCAGGCCCTCGAACGAGATACCAGCCCAATTGGGCCAGTTTGGACCAGAGGCCACTGCCCAAATGGTACGATGAGGCCAAGGTGGGCATCTTTCTCCACTACGGCGTCTACTCGGTGCCCAGTTTTGGCTCCGAGTGGTTCTGGACCAACTGGAAAAGTACGAAATTACATTACATTACATTACATTTTACGAAAATAAAATTAAAAAAAAATAAAATTAACAACTATGTGGAAATTAAACTAAACAAGTTTTATGGAAGTGATAAAGAACTCAGTGCGGCATATACATTTTTTATGTGTTATTCAAACTTATAAACTAATTTGAAAAAGTAAATAATTTATTCTCTTGAATACAACTTAACAAATTTTTTAGAATTAATGAAAGTGCAACGAACATTTGTTTTGTTTTTTGTTTTTTGAGTATTGAGTTAATATGTTATTTAATTTTCAAAGAGTTTAACATGTGACGGTCCTTTAGTTTTATTTAAATAAAATATTACAATTTTATACTGGGTTTCTTAAAAGAATTAATCTTTTTTCAGGTCTCCGTAATCCCGACTACATCCGATTCATGCAACGCAATTACAAGCCCGACTTCACTTATCAGGAATTCGCGGACCAATTTACTGCGGAGCTGTTCAATGCCACTCAGTGGGCGTTACTTTTCCGAGATAGCGGAGCAAGGTATTCACATACATACTCTTTCAGTATTATCTCTATATCCCACCGATCATTAATTCTTATATTTATCCTCAGATACGTAGTGCTGACCAGCAAACATCACGATGGATTCACGCTGTGGCCATCGAAGAGCAGCTTCGGTTGGAATTCAGTGGATGTGGGACCGAAGCGGGATATAATCAGTAAGTTTGTATTATGATTAGTAACTCGAGATTAATGGTAGAGCCAAATAAGCTGATTTAAATGGATTAAGAAAAGAAGTAAATGTTATTACTTCTGTACTTTCTTTTTCCATTATCAAAAAAATGAATTAAAAAATAAATTATATTTTATATTTATATAAGATTAAAAACTTTTTGCCATTGGTGATCAAAGATTGAAAAAATTCTTAATCAAACTTATAAGCAACAAAAACCTGACAAATAATTATAATGAAAAAAACATTGAATACATTCGCATATGGTATTATAAATATCAAAAGCTGAATTTTTTTAAAAAGTTAAAAAATCAAGAATGGAATTACTATTATTAATTTTTTAATTATGAATTTTTACTAGTTATACTTATACACAAACAATATATTTAGTTGAAATTGACATACTAGTTTTATCCTTCAGAGGAACTAGCTGCCGCGGTTCGCAAAGAGTCCGATCTGAAATTCGGTTTATACTATTCACTTTTCGAGTGGTTCAACCCCCTGTGGACCGACGACAAGTTGCACCTGCTGATGCAGCAGCACTTTGTGGAGCGAAAGGTGCGACCGGAGCAAATGGAGCTGGTGGAGCAGTATTTGCCGGAGATCATTTGGTCCGATGGCGATTGGGAGGCTCCGGCGAAGTATTGGCGATCCGAGGAGTTCATCGCCTGGCTTTACAACGATAGTCCAGTGAGGGATACCGTGGTGACCAATGATCGTTGGGGCTTCGGCACCGCCTGTTTGCATGGCGATTTCTATAACTGCGCGGATCGCTTCAATCCGGGAGTCTTGCAGGCTCACAAGTGGGAAAATGCCTTCACTTTGGATCGCAAAAGCTGGGGTCAACGATTCGATGTCAGTTTGGCCGATTTTATGACCTCCAAAGAGGTGATTAAAGGTGGGTCAAGTTATTACAAAAGTAAATAAAGTTCTAATACTGTTTTAAACTATATTTTCCAGAGATCGTCACAACTGTCAGTTGCAATGGCAATGTTTTGATAAATGTGGGACCCACCAAATATGGCACCATTTTACCAATATTCGAGGAACGTTTGAGGGATATGGGTCATTGGTTGAAAATCAATGGGGAAGGTATCTACGCAAGTGTCCCCTGGATTTATCAGAACGATACCATTACTCCAAATGTTTGGTACACGCGACGACAGGAGGTTTCCAATGGCATCATTACCGTATACGCATTCGTACTGGATTATCCTTATGACACCAATGAGCTGGATATCTATCCACTCGGCAGGGAAATCAATGTATTCCGGAATGTCATGTTGACAGGAATCGATTTGGGAACCGATGTGGAGATCATAAATGAGCAAAGCACTGAAGTCCTTATGTTGGGCATGGAGGACACCAAAATTAAGGTAGGTCTGGATACTACTAACTAATACTAAGTTTTTAATTTTTGTTTGAACTTTAGTGGACTTCGGATCACAACAAACTGCATATTCAGTTTCCCCCGAAACACCACATCGATAAGCGAGGACTAGACTTTGCCTGGACTTTTAAAATAACTATAAAATAGATTACTTTATGAACAAATATGCAATATTATAAATTACCATAATAAATAAGAATAATTGTTGCTGAAGAATTTTACAATTACAAACGTCATACAAAAACAACATCTATAAGAATATAAAGTTAATACAAATAAAAATTGGAAAAATCATTAAGTGTTAGATAATTTGGTTTAGCAAAAATAAATTTTACTGTGACGTTGTGTAAAACAAGGTCAATTCTTGACTTTTATTTGTTATTTAATACGAGGATTTGTCTTTGTTTTATAATTTTTCTAGAATATGCTAGGGATTGCTATCGGCAGCCTGTTTGGGCAGCGGTGTTCGGTGCTTGTGGCCAGCGAGTTGAGCCCGCGAAAGGACGCCGCCGTCGCAGGTGACGCAGTGGTAGTGCGTGTGCCTCAGGGCGTATGAGCAACCTGCAGAATCGCACGGCTCGTTTCCGCCCACCTTGCGGAATCCTGCACTGCGCACATAATCCTGGCGGAGGTGCAACCTCCGGTGGGCCACCACCTTGTTGGAGTCCGTGCACACGTAGTCGCACTTGCGGCAGTGGAAGTGGGAAGTCTTCCTCGAGGACGCCGCACCTGCCTCTGTTGGATCTGCAAAAAAAAAGAGGAAATGTTACTAAAACTTATTAAATTCTAAATTAGGAAGGAAATGTTTGAAACAATGCTTAAAAATAGTACAATTCTTAAAGCTCTTATAAGGAATTAGGTTTTTTTTAGGGAGTTAATAACATTACAGTAAATGGATATAAGAAACACAGCTTAACGACATTTTTTAAAAGAAAGAACAACTAGGCTTTCAGTTTGTTTAGTTTTTGTATGCAATTGTCCAAATATTGCAAAGAAATATTTTAAAAATGTTGCAATATATATAAAGTAAAAATAAAAAAAAATTTTGTTGATTCATAGTTTTAAAACTAAAATCATTTTCCTGAAAAAAACTGTGGAAAAGGACAATCCAAATTTGATGACTTACCCAGCCGGTTTGGATGATGGGAATCTGTTCCTCCTCCACCCGCTGAAGAGGCATAAGAACAGCTGGCCACTCCGCATTGCATGTTGGCCCGAAACTGGCGGAAATCGTCTCCCATTAGAGTGTCCATTCGTTCATGACGCGCCGTATGTTGCACAAACCGCGTCTTGTCGCAGAAACTGTAGTGGCAATCGCGGCGATTGCAGTGAAAGTGCGACTGGTGATTCCGGTAGCCGCATCTTTCGAAGCCGCAGTCCTCGTTGAAACGGAACTTCAGGTAGCCACTGGGGATGTCGTGATCCCGGATTCTCTTCACCGGAGGCCGTTGAACGGAATCCGCCGTGGAATTTGAAGCTACGGTTGCCGTTGCACTGGCAGCTACATTCAGGAGCATCAGCTTTTGATGGGCGGCATTCTCCAGCAAAAGTCGCATATCCAGAAGTGGTCCAGATACCGATCCTGATCCGGATACTGATCCAGGTAATGCCATGGGTTGACTGGCGGCCGCCAAAATATTGGGTAGTAAAAACTGTCGCTGGTACAAATCGATCAGCTGCTTGAATTGCAGCAGATTCATATTCAAAGCTGGTCCCACTGTCGAGGAGTTTGGTTCGGAAAGGGAAGAACGCATGCTCAGATCCTCTGGCTGATCCAATTCTAGGTCTGCCGACTCCCTGCCACTTATGTATCTTGAAGATCCAGCTTCCGGCACTTCTTGATGCCCAGCTGAACTCGCATTCTCCGGATAAAAAGTTCCCGCTGCACGAACAACTTTAATTAAGTAATAAAATTAAGTTTATATAAATTTAAATCAAAATTTAAATAGTTTTGAATATATATCTTAAGCAAACTAAACAACAACTTACCAGAAATTTTATCCAGAGCTCTACTTGGCATATTCTTTGACGGGACTGCTTCTAAAGGTTCTAAAGGCTGTAAAATAGGCTAAAAATGTATGGAACATTATTAGAAACATATTAATTACTTAATTACTAAATGTTTTAGTACCTGTGTTAAAGACTCGTTGCGGCAACTGCGAGACTGAGTCTCACTCCTCGCTGTTGAAGGGGAAACATGAACAGAGCTTCTCTTGATTGAATGATCCGCTGGGGAATTCAGTGATGGGGCCCAAACTCGAGCCCTTTTCCGGTTCCGACTAGAAGTGAGATCGGTGGCTGATCCGTCGTGATCCGCTATAGAAAGACGATCCTCTGCATTATCCTGTAGCGAACCACTGGAAACTGGAGTTCCTTGAACGGAGTGATCGCTTCTCTCCAGTTTGAAACTGGTGAAGATGGCCTGCGGCGAGTGTTGTGCCTGCAGTGAAAAAAAAAACGGAAAAAGGCAGAAAACAACAACTTATATTTCTATATTTGTTGACAATCGAAATCTATCTGCGATATTCCACGCAGCAATGTGGGCGCCTTTCATGGAATTAAATTACTTTGGCATGGCAGGGCCGTACTTGCTGCCGTTGTTGTCATTGTCATAGTTTTCGGATTTTGAATTTTGGATTTATGACAAACAATCGGCGCGCAACCAGTTTATTACTCGTATTTCCGAAATTACTGTTAATGTTTGTCGTTGGCCCAAAATGTCACTATTTAAATTTTGTTCACGCATCAAATCAATAATAAAAACGAAAAAAAAGAGAGAAAGAACGAGTGAAGTGAAAAAGCCAAAAGCAAAAACAAAGGAGAAACCATTCGAAATTAAAAACACAAGTGCAACGCGTAGATACCCTAAACGATCCAAAAATAGGATTACTAAAATGGCACTCAAATATTTTTCCCAAAAGTGGAAAATAAATAAATTATTATGTAGAAAGATGACATCGTAATCAGTTAAATATATTTAAAGCAGGCGAAAAAGGTAAAAGGAACAATAGGTAACCGAATACTGATCTACAATTCACTAAATTTCCCTCTTAATTCAGAAATAGTTTTCACTACCATGCAGAGTATATGACCCTCTCGTGTTCACTTATAACAATAATTACACCGAAAATATTGAAAGACAATGAAACGAGTTTGGCTTTACCTGATAAGTTGTGGCTCACACACATAAGCACACACCTTATTTGATTAAATGCGATATAAGTGTGTATAGAAATTATTATTATTTTTATTGCTATTGTTAGTGGTGTATATCATTCCTTTCCATCGCCGTTTGGGATTATCGAAGGGGCCCGCGAGCTTGGGTGGGTGGTGGAGTGAGAGGAGATCCACCCATTGCACCACCTTGATTCCTGCGACCAATTTGGGTCACCTTTCCCCCCTTTGCGCTCTCAAAGTTGGCGCGGCTTACTTCCCAAAAGAATGCCACAAATGGCAATGGACAAAATATTTATTCAAATTTCTGTTTTTATTCACACACACAGTGCACTGAAAAAATTAATTGAATTGGCAACTCAATGGTGCACACTTTTTAAAGGGTTTTAAGGAAAAGGAATTTTAATGTAATTTAGGTTTTCTTGTTCTTATTTACTTATTAAGTGAAATCTTAAAACTGCCTTTATATAAGTTTTTTACAATATTATACCTTTGGCTCGTAAAAAAGCTAAAAAACTTATGTAATTTAATTTAAATAAAATAATGATATTAATTATATTGAAAATACATACTCAAAAATAAATTGTCAATAGATTTGGAATGAATTCTCAAGACTTCTGTGACTCCCGAAAAAACATATGTAAGTTTTTTCAACTCCCTAATTTTGATATAACAATATTTCATAAAAATGTGATTTTTTTTCAGTGTACTGGCCATGTTAAATGTGCTCACCAAGGAGAGTGACGCGTGGGCTGGGTAATCGTAAACACACAAGTGCGATGTGGTGCGTGTGCATGAGCTTGGCTCGAAAAAATGTAGAAATTATGAAAATGACAGTTAAAAGCACAAAATGCTCGTCGCCGGGGGAAGGGCGTTGGGAGGGGGTGGCAAAATGGGGAGGGGAGGGTAGGATTGGGGGCAGGCGGGGCAGGTGATCCGAGTGCCAAGAGAAGTGCCGTCGACGACGCTAGACGGGCAAATGAAATAAATGCGGAAACACTCGTTGTCAATATTAATATGACGAATATGGCAAAAACCAAATCCGAAAACTCAATTCAACGCACAGCACACAAAATGCCGCATTAGGCTCCCTCGATCGTTGGGGAAACGGTTGAAGGGGCGGGGTGGGACGAGGGGGGCGTGGCAGGGCGCTGAATGGCTGACGTTGCACACAAATAGGCGCAAATTCCTAATTATAATTGAGCTTCGATCGGGTCGCAGACACACGGAAAAGGAACCAAGCAACTGGGTCGAGTCAGTGAACAAATATTTTCACAAGAACCTCGTAATTGAATCGGAAAATGGAATAAATATTAAAAGAATGGGGGAGTGTGAAAGTTACTTTTTAAAAGCAATAATAACCCTTATTCTACTTTTTACTTTTTAAAAATCTAAAAACCCATTTACACTTATCTTATTAAGAGTACAATAATTGAAAAAAATATTAAAATGAAAACTTAATCTTCTAGAATTCCAAATTCTAAAATTTAATTTTAAATAACTGTATCTAATGGAGGATTAAATTACTCATTAAAAAATGTAGAAAAAATATAAAATAATTGAATTGGTTTACATCCAATAACGGAATAGAAGCATGATTGATTTTTTCTTGTTTACGAGTAAAAAAAGTGAAAAATCTTTCAAAAATTATACTAAATATTTATTAGCATTTATCTTTCCAATACTCACGCTTTTGTAGACCTCCACAAAGCGATTCTTTGGCGGACGACCCCGCTTGCGATTGAAGAAGCCATCGATGGAGGTGATCTGGGTGGGCTGACCATGATCACTTGGACCGGGGGATTCCACCTCGGCGATGGCACTGCTGCTGGACTCCATTCCGTGGTCTTTCTCTATGGCAGCTGGAAACCAATAAGAACCGAGTTAGCAAACTGATACTGAAGGAAATGCCTGACTCGTGACTCATTCACCCTACTGCCACGGCCACTCAGCAAAAATCGAGGCGAATTGCCAGAAAAAGGGGCCTTTGACCACCTTGAAAGGTTAACACCCGATCGGAGGTCAGGTTTCGGCGCCAGGCCCTTTGGCAATTGCACTTGTTCGCGTCTATCGCTCTTTCTTCATAGCGAAACATTTCTTCCGCGAAATTCGTTTATTTAGGTTTATTTGGAATTTTTGTACGAAAAAGAAATTTAAATAATTATATATTTGAACAAGAAATTAACAAGACTTAATAAACTAATGGTGAAACTAAAGTATTATATATTTATAGTCATTATATCTCTGAATTGGTTGCCAAATATGCAAATAATATAAATTTTCTTTAAATTAATCAAACGCTGTTGTTGCATTTTACTATTTAAAATTGTGGAAATCACAGTTTATACTGTTAAGTTTAGATTTTTATAATTTATAAAATTGTATAAAAATAAAAAAAGAGTATGATTTAAATAACATTTATGTACCATCCAGCTTTTTTGAATCACAACACATTATGTTTTCAGGAATTTTTAATTTCAAATGTAAAAATAGTAATAGAAGTGGTTCCATAAAAAGTATGTAAAAATCCCCTAAAATTACCTATAAATCTCAAGAAATACTTGTTGATCCCTTGACCAACTTGAATAACTCTTCGAGTGTATGTCTCTGCCAAAAGAATGGCAACTGGCGACTTCGCTGGAACACTTTGCATACATGTGCTGCATATGACTCGATAGGGATCGATATTTGGCATGCGAGCGTGCGGGTGGCACTGCCAGTTCCCGAGAGATCTGCACTGGATTAGTGGCGAAATCTGAGGACTCTTTGGCAACGAAGGTGAGTAAACAAGTTGATCGCCTGGCCGGCCAAGTACAATGGCCGAATGTTGTCAAAGGGCTCGGCGGAATGGGTGGTCCCACCAATTAAGCCGAGCTCCTTGGCCGCCGACGATTGTCTGCCAACGATTAGTCCGCTTCGAGCTTAAATGCCTTGCCCACCTGAGATAGACATCTTACATGGAAGAGCGTTTTTAGTCATTTATTTAGCGGTGCCGCGCATCCATATCCATATTATTCAATTCAATTCGATCCGATGCACTCACTGCCGGCCGCGATGCCCAAAACAAAAGAGCCGATTCTTGAGATTGCCAAGCCATTAACCACCAGCAATTGACAATTTGAAGGCAGGCAGTTTTATCTCGGCATCAGATACACAAACACACATTCAGAAAAATATATCCGAGTTATTCTACGTGTTGCACCACCCACCAATTATATGTTGCACATTGCTGTTGCTTTCGTATCCTGGAATTTCGTTGGTTTATATGGATTCTGTTCACACTTTGGTTGGGTAATTATCACCAACACTCAACTGGAATTTTATGAAATGGCGCCGAATAAATTTAAATGAGAAATCGAAGCCTCAACGAAACGCGTCCACCAGCGACAAGCAACCACGATCGAGTGGCGAGCGGATCGCCAAAGCCGCCGATTCGAGCCGGGCCAAAACCGAAGCTCAAGCACGAACCAACCGTCAGCTGATCCATTGACCAATTCCAAATACAAGAGATCTCTGGGCGAAGGCTCTGGCGTTCTGAGTGAAATCAAAGATTTTGTAAAGAAATATAAATTGGTTTAAATAAAAATATTTAAATATATAATATTTTCAAGTGCTCTTAACAAGTGCCTTTTGTTATTATATTAATTTTAAGTCCACTTCAACAACTATTTTATTATCAACACATTGATCAATTTTTGATGCCAAATAATAATATGCTTAAAACAGAAAAACAAGTCTAAAAAGAAGATAAGAATTTTTACAGGAGTAAAATCCAAAAATGATTTCATTATCTAGGAATTATTTCGAGGGTAATATAAAAAAAATGCTAGAAAAATATTTGCGATAACAAAATTTTTTTATTAACAACAACAAGTCAAGTCCATGAAAGAAATAAAAACAAGAGTTACAGGATCCAGAGCAGTATTCCCTATGACGAACATCCCCACCAATTGATTTTGGCAGAGGTCAAATGATATCAATAATATCAAAAGAGGGTTAAATGATCCTTAGATGCTTTAATCCTTTTTGCCGCACACACACTGGCGGATCCTTCGGTCGAGGTCACGAACCATTTTGAGGAGCTCCTGGCAGAGCGATTCCCTTCCAGGACATCCTTTGCAGGGCTCTCCTCCAGGACCACAAGGCTTGCAACCACTTGGTTTGGTGGGTTTCGATGGCTTGGTGGGTTTAGTACAATCCGTTGGCTTGGTAGGTTTGGATGGTTTGGTAGGCTTAGAGGGCTCAGTGGGTTTAGATGGTTTGGTGGGTTTGGATGGCTTGGTGGGCTTGGATGGCTTGGTGGGTTTGGATGGTTTTGTCGGCTTAGATGGCTTGGTGGGTTTGGATGGCTTCGTGGGTTTGGATGGTTTGGATGGTTTGGTGGGTTTACTGGGCTTAGTGGGTTTAGATGGTTTCGTAGGTTTGGATGGCTTGGTGGGCTCTGTGCATTCCGTTGGCTTTGAAGGCTTGGTTGGTTTGCTTGGTTTAGTGGGCTTCGAAGGTTTAGTAGGCTTAGAGGGTTTAGTTGGCTTGGAAGGCTCTGTGCATTGCGTCGGCTTGGTTGGTTTACTTGGTTTGGTGGGTTTCGTGCATTCCGTGGGTTTGGTGGGTTTTGACGGCTTAGTTGGCTTAGAAGGCTTGGTTGGTTTAGACGGCTTAGTGGGTTTGCTTGGTTTGGTGGGTTTGCTTGGTTTGGTGGGTTTTGACGGCTTAGTTGTTGTAGGTGTTGTCCTACAAGTGGTTGTTGGTGGTTTGCAAGTGGTCGTTGGTGGTTTGCAAGAGGTTGTTGGTGGTTGGCAAGAGGTTGTTGGTGGTTTGCAAGAGGTTGTTGGTGTTTGGCAAGAGGTTGTTGGTGGTTTGCAAGAGGTTGTTGGTGGTTGGCAAGAGGTTGTTGGTGGCTTGCAAGTGGATGTCGTCGTAGAAGGTTTACAAGTGCTCGATGTCAATGGACAACCAAGATCCGTACCGTTAGCAAAGCCAATTAGCAGGATGCTCGCTTTAAGAAAAGAAATCGATTAGTGTATCTATTAAAAGTATTCCCGATTCCCGTGAGGATCGGTGCTACATACCTAGGATAAAGGCAAAGGTCAGTTTCATGTCTTTCTTTTAATTGAATTGACTTGTTCAATTGGAAAAAGCCCACAAACTGATAAATTCCTTGGGGATTCCTTGCCTTTTATAGGTACATTTGGTTCCAAAAATGCATTTCTAAAAATGGAATCAATGGAACAAACCATTTGTCAATAATGTAAACATGCGAACCAAGACTTAATATTTTCGGGTTCAATCGATCGAGCTGACTTAATTTTAGAAAAAGATAAACTGCTGTTAAAAAGTGCAATTGCCTTTATTGCTAGGTGAGTTTATTTATATGTATTAAACAATATAAAAAGTTTTTAAATAAAGTTTAATTATAAAAAAAAAATACTCGTGGAACTAATCTTCGTCAAAAGTTAAAAATATTTACGTAAAAGTCTTAAAAGCAAGCAGGGCCGGAGAAACAGTTTTGAGTGGGGTGATGACCTCACAAATTTTCAATATCCCCCCCGCCCCTTTTGTTTCAAAATCATTCCAAATCATGATGAGGGAAACACTGTTGACATAAACATTGGCGCCTTCTTGTTCGTTTTTTTGAGGCGCAGCATTCCGCTCTCGCTGTTTTCGAAAACTATTATCGCTTTTCAGGCAAAGCCACATTTGATGCAATCGAGAAACGGCAGGAGGTTCCGTTTGAGTTGTGCTTTCCACGGTGGTCGCAAATGAAGTTGTTTGTGGCACGATATATGATGGATCCTGAATTGAACAGAATATATTTTTTAAAAGCTATTTTAATAAAACAACAACACCAATCAATCAAAATGCAACAGGTAAAAAAAACTATTTTAAATGTAAAATGTTAATTAAAATCCATTTAATATTAATATAATGTTAATTTAATGTTAAAATAATGTTAATTTAATATAATGTAAATGTAATGTTAACTAAATGTTAATTAAATTAATATGGCCACGTCAGCGACAATGATAATTAGTTATTTTTTTCGTTTTCTTGCACCTATAATTCCCAAGTGGTTCTGGCTGATTCGTAGTGGGATACCCCTTGATTTTGGCCATTTTCTCAGTTCTCCGGGATGACCGGCAGTTTCTCTAAGAAACTTTTTCCGGTCTCTGGAAGTGTGTGTGTGTGCGTGTGTGTTAGTGACGTGGTTCCAGAGTGGGAGAGAATATCTGGCCAACTCCTCCTACTGGAGTCCACTCCCGGATGCAGTGCATCATGGGTCGACTCCTCCTACTGGAGTCCACTCCCGGATGCAGTGCACCATGGGTCGACTCCTCCTACTGGAGTCCACTCCCGGATGCAGTGCATCTTGGGTCGACTCCTCCTACTGGAGTCCACTCCCGGATGCAGTGCATCTTGGGTCGACTCCTCCTACTGGTGTCCACTCCCGGATGCAGTGCACCATGGGTCGACTCCTCCTAGGATGCACTGCATCATGACCTGACTTGGCATGAACTTAAAGGTGCCCGATCCCTTCCTGCATGCAGTGGACTCCAGGATGCAGGGCATCCAAACCTGAAAAGGTGAGTTGCTGTTTTTTTTTAATTATGTGATGACGTGGCTTTTGTTAAAAAAAATGCAGTTAATTAATTCAATTTTTTTATATTTTTTTTTTCAGGTTTTTGGTTGTGTATTTGGCTGATTGCAGAAAATAATTGGTGACACCATCCAACTTGTAACTTGAAGTTCGACATCAGGATGCACTGCACCAAGGTTATTACGCAGTGAGTACATCCTTTAGACAATAAATAATTAAGTTATATATTTTAAGAAATCATAAATATTTTGACAAAGAAACTAAAAGCAACAGATAAAGATCTGAAAGTTTTCAAGAACATGAAAGAAATTTTAAAGGTAAATTTTATCAAATATTGAACTTGAAGTACATGAAAATCAAACACAATTAATAATTGTAAACAAATAGAGACATATAATATAAATATATAAATATTTATTATATTTTGTTTGTTTTTTTTTATTTAATTTCAGGGTAAAGTGTTAAGTGTAAATGTTGCGAATAACGTGGTTGCGGTGATTATCTTACTTCAAGAAGACGAAAGATTGCAGTGCAGATCAAGGAGCTAACTGAGTAAGTACCAATCTGAAAAGATTTATTTATGATAACCTCATAGTTATTTAAGTAGTTGTTACATTAAGTTGGAAATGCTTAACTTGGCAAGTATTTGGAGAGTTACTATCTATCTATTTAAATAGAAACTGAGGACTATTTAGATTTCTTAGTTTCCATACGAGTTTATTTCCATCTTCGTCTGAATTATGATCGTTCCTTCTTTATTAATCTACTTTTTATACTTTACTTTACATTGACACAATGATTTGATTTGACATTTTATTTTTATTTATACATTTTACTTTTCTGACTTCCCAGCAAATACACAAACCTTTGTTATTAATTTTAGAGCGCCCAAAAGAGATACAATTTATAGACTCCTTACTTTAATTCTTACCAAATTGTCTTTGCTGTACTATAATTCCCTCTCAAAAAATTAAACTAAACCATATAATAACAACTTTAACTCATGGTTCAAAATGAAATCTAGCTTCTACCGATTTCCAAAAGCAGATATTAAGAAATGAAAAGAGCCCTTTTATTAATTTAAATTAATATTTAAAAAAAACATTTTCTTAAATACTTTAGCTCATAATAACGCCTATAATTGGGTTAGTCGTGTCTGTTTTCCAGCTGTTTGCAAAGTATTTAATTAAGCAAACAATAACTCTTTTCAATTGATACGCACTCGGTCAGGAAATCAGTCGATTATTATTTTTGGACAAACAGACAAAGCTGTCACGAAACCTAGTAGATCGCTATAAAAGAGGCTTGTGGTACTCCAATCAATCACAACACTCGATACCACCATTTCGAAACAATTAAAAGTTTCTTCCATTAGCGGTCTCCGAGAATTCTAAACGATATCTAAAGATGAAGTACCTCTTCGTTGTTGCCCTTATTGCCTTGGCCATTCAGTGTGCCTACTGCGCAACCGGAACAACTACAACTACAACAACTACAACAACCGCTGCCTCGACCACAACAACAACCACAGATGCAACAACCACTACAACAGCCTCTTCCACCCACAAGAAGCGTTGTTGGAAGGGCAACAACTGGTGCCACACCAGGATTCCCAATAAGAAGTGCAAGCACCCAAGAAGGTGCCACAAGACCGTCGTTATTGTAACTCACAGGAAAAATTAATCGAAACCCTTGCAAAATAAAATAAATATTTCGAAAAAAAACTTAACATTTTTTGATGGTAAAGTTTTCCTCATTTCCAAATTGGTTTTTGCAGCAACAACTGATGATTTCAAAATGTGAGCTCTGCAATATTATAGCTAATAAACGTGTAAGGAAACCTCTGGAGTGTTTTGCCAACCCATCCAAAATTCATGTTCGTGTTCATGTAAACAACACATTGAAACGACAATAATAACAGAAATTGTACGGGTTACAATATACACATATTTCATCTTAAATTTAAAAATTAAAAAAAAGATGCCTGGTTTTATAATAAAAATAATCCCTTTGAAATTACAAAGGTTAAATAAAAATTAAGAAGGTGGACCTTACATTGATGATTGGAAATCAGGACACAACCATCCTTGTTGAAATTGTTTCTAAGTGAAGACAGTCCATTGCTTGCAACGGATTTTCTTAAGGGGAACTACTGCAAAAGGATCTCATGGAAACTATACGCAGTGTTCAGCAGAAGATTGGCAAGAGCGTTTGAGAAGAAAATGCCTGAATGTTGTAGAAACTCAACTAATGCGAAATAAACCAGTAATTCAAATACATGAAATCTTCTATTTAATATCTCCGTTGGTGCTGCAAAATCGAGTACACTATGATTCTCACTGGAAGAGTGGGAGTATAAGTGGGATTTAAGGAAAACCCCGAAATAAAAATAATTAAAATTGTTGCTATGCATATGTTTATTCAGGCATAAAGTCCAAGGAATCTGATTAATTTTTCCTGTGAGTTACAATAACGACGGTCTTGTGGCACCTTCTGGGGTGCTTGCACTTCTTCTTGGGAATCCTGGTGTGGCACCAGTTGTTGCCCTTCCAACAACGCTTCTTGTGGGTGGAAGAGCTTGTGGTCGTGGTTGTTGCATCTGTGGTTGTTGTTGTGGTCGAGGCAGCGGTTGTTGTAGTTGTTGTGGTTGTAGTTGTTCCGGTTGCGCAGTAGGCACACTGAATGGCCAAGGCAATAAGGGCAACTACGAAGAGGTACTTCATTTTAAATGATGGTGGGGTATTTCGGATCTTCTGGATAAGAATCGATTGGATGTTGTGACTTACTGAAAATTTACCGACCACTTTTATAGTAAACTCCCAAGTTCCGCCTTTAACGCGTTCTTCCAAAGCTATTTACTTTATACTATATTTGCCAAAGAACCATTTTGGTATCGGTAATAATCGCTTTAGGAAACTATTTTTTGGGGGAAGTTGGGTAGAAAAGTAAATATAAAATTATTTGACAGGTGGCGACAAATATTTAAAGACAATTTATATGTTAGTTGGAAGTAAAAATCCATAAAACTGATTACAATACAACGTATGCCAGAATTTCAAAAAAATTGGTTTACTATTATTCCATTTATTCCATTCCAGTAAATAAAAAAGATATTAAAAAGAAAACCACATTTTTTCACATTTAAAAAATTTATTGTTTTTTTTTTTTGTATTTTTTATTTTTTAATCAACTTTTACACAGAGAAAAAAATTAAATTGCAATTTTTGCATTTGTTTGTTTAATTTGATTAATTAAAATTTGTTAAATTGCTAGAATTTGTTAAGCGCTACTAAAATTTAAATTTGTTTTGTTTCATTACATACACTCATAATCATATAGGTAGTATATGGTATACATATATAATATATATTTTATTTTCCCCGCTCATTCCTTCTTTTCAGATCTTGCTTTAGACTCGGTATTCGTTAAAGACCTATTGCCACATATATGTATAATGGAAATTGTTATATATAAACAGTATTTCGTCATATAACTTTATGGTGTAAAACACTGATTCTCGTTAACGGTAGTCTGAAACAATTTTCCATTCCCTTGAATTTTTGATTTGTGGTAAATGAAACAAGCGCAGATTTGAACTGGACAAAAATTCGGGAGGGAATCGGATTTTTAGATTTTCCTTAGCTGATTGAGCGTAGCTGCCAACGAAGGCAGATGAAGCCGTGAACTTATAATGAAAATGATAATGAAATCTGGCTCAGATTGCATATGGTGGGATAATCGTTTGAATTAAACGTCCTATCGATAATCGAAGATGCCATACTGATTTCGGTCGCAATTGGAATGCAGTTTCAATTTAAATTTATTTTCGGGGACTGTCTAGTTTTTGAAGGGATCTCTAGATTTGCGGATTGAGTTATTTGCTTTCGATTTCACTTGAGGCGTTCGTTTAATTGATTTGTTATTTGATTCTTGAATGCATTAATTGGTTCCCTTAAACAACACACACACATACATTGAAAATATACATTAGTACTGCCGTAGTAGTAATCATAATATTTGCCTTAGTCGGTAACTCTGTAGTTTGTAATAGAATGTGTAAAAATTCTACAATTTATATAGATATATCCATACATCTATTTTACATTCATATATAGAACTTTCTGCATACCCATGCATAAATACATATTTATATCCGCTTGCTTATGGGCTTGATACTTGTCACGATTTTTGTTTTCGCTTTCTTTTTGTTTTTGGTTTATCATTATTGTTTACAAAATACTTTGAGGAGCACTGGACAGATCTAAGATTCATTTCTTTCTTTGTATCTCTATACAGTTTCACTTATCCATGGAAAACGTAACGAAAAATCCTCCGAACACTGGAGATAGTTCTCTACTTCAAAATACAATATCCGATTTAAAAAGAAAAAGCTCAAGAAAAACCACATTTAAAGCGCTGCGAGTCCTACAATCTTACAAAGCCTGGCAACTTGTGAACAAAAACTTTAACCGATTAATATGGAAAGATGTTGGGCAAACCATATCGGAAGATCTACAAATTAAAATCTTCTACAACTACTTGGTTAATAATTTCATCAATCGAACAAAAGGAAATGATTTTAAATGATTTCTTTCTTGCTTTCTGCAACTTTAGTTAAAATTACTTTGTTGATTATTAAATAGATCACATTCATGGTTCTATTTCTTTACTTGCTTTATTTATGTTCACATTTAATTAGTTAATACAGTATATATAGAATTTTTGTTTTCTTCTCATTTATTGCTGCTACGGTGGCCCTATTTATGTACATATACTATATATATTTAATATATGCATATGCTTATGTGTGTGTTTGTGTTTAATGATCAAATGGAGTTAAAAAACGTCGATACTTGAGTCTGAGATGGCTAAAACATTCGTTATGCGTTAGAGGGCTGTTGGCATTTTACACCTTGGTTAACCTAAATAAGTTTAAAGAAAGTTTTAAATACCTAAATTGTATTTTCGCTTGTGTAATTTTCCTTCCGCTCTTCACTTTATCATATAATGAGTTCTTCATCTTATTAGTCGAGATCTTTGTGGGATTGATTATTGATGGAAAAGAGTACTTAGTTAGTTTAATTTAAATTATTGCAAATGTTTTTTTGTATTTCTTGGTTTTATAAATAAATTCTTGTTTGCCATTGCGTGTGTTTGTTTGTGGGTGTGTGTTATGCACGAGTATAAACTACAATTAACCTGTCAAATACTTGGGATTTGTTTTGTTTTTGTTTTTTGTTTTGTGGCGTATGTGAGAGCTTTAAGAGGTCTGTCATTAACAACAGATATAATGAATTTTGCTTTGCCTTTACGACTTCACTTCTTTGTTTTGTTATTCTACGCTAAAAATTATTTTAAAATTTATTAACACAGATGACTTTATATTTTCCGAAAGTTTTTGCTTCTGCCTCTTCACAATAGTTACCCATTTTTTTTCATAAATTTTTGCTTGTTTTTTTTTTTTTTTATAAATAATTTCACTGCTTACATCATTCGTTAATCAAAACAATTTGTTCGCCAACTAACTAGCCAAAATGTATCCATAAATGTATATAAGTTAAATATTTTATCCGCTTCCTATCGATATTCATCCTTTCTTCCTTATCAATTTTGTTTGTTTGTCATATCGTGTTATTATTGTTTGTTGTTGGTTTGCATTTGTTTTTACGTTAACTAAACTACAGATAAACACACAGCTACGCACATTGAATGAAATCTTCTGCTGGATTTTAGTTTAGTTTCTCTTGTTGTTGATTTCGTTTTTGCTTGTTTAATATTAAAATCTTACATTAGAAACACATCAAATATTAGAAATATTTTTCATATATATCTATATATGTATATTGTATATTCAGCCACTTGGCCACACTTTCCTCGCAGAGTTTGGAACTCTGTACAAAACAAGAAAATAATAATATTCAATTAAAATAATAATACAGAGCTTAATCGTACATAGGTGGAAATATTTTGAGAATTGTTTGAATCTATTTTACTAACATGAATTTGTTGGTTCTCTCTAAAATAACTGGGCACCGACTTGTTGAGTGTCGGGATCGAACAAAATTTCGAAATAATTTCCAATCTGTTCAAAAATTCTGCAATCGATTTCTTGGTGTATGTGAGTGTATTCGTGAGTGTGTGTATGCGTTTTTATCAATATTCATAATTATTATATAATATCACATCAACTTTGTTTTTATATTTGTTATTATTAACTTTCCTCTTTTCGCTTCGGTTGATCGATTCCGATTCGTATTGTTTGCTCTCAAATATATATAGAAATTTGTTGGTTTTCTTTATCTCAATACAGTATATAGATGTATGTATGTATGCATGCATTTAGAAGTAATAGCCTAATTGAATCGTGACAAAAAACATGTACTCATTATTATGCATTGAAGTCATACATAATAGTTAAGCTACATTTGATTCCTGGATTATGATGATGATACAAGGTGATGGTGTACACACATCCATACATACAAATGGGGTTAATACTCTATACTTCCATCCGGGGGTTTTGCCTTTTGTATTCAATTTAAAACGGATCACCGACAACCGTTCACTGAGTGAAGTTTTCTTCTGCTTGTCTGCCTTATCGTTTTACAATATTTTGAATATTCCTTATGGTTTTGTGTGCTCTTCTCTTTCTCCTCATTTTCAATACTTCTTTTTTTTTTGCAATTTTTTTCATTTTTCAAAAAGTACCTTTTTTGTTTAAGCCAAAAAGTCAGTCCAATAAGAGTTTTGAGTTGCCTGCAACTGCAGTTGATTTGTTTTTGTTTTCGTTTTGGTTTTTTGGTTTTGTTTTAGAGCTTAGGTTCCAAAATAATTGTTTTTGCTTTAGCGTAGAGTTGATTTGTTATTTGCAGGAGTAAGTTGATAGTTTGTGGTCCAAAAGTTTGCCTCTACGGGTTAAACATTATCTCTCCGTATTCCATCATAAAGATCTTGAGTCTTGGAGATCGCGACCGAGGAGATGTTTGCTATTGCGATTGCTGCTCTTATTTCTGCTGCTGTTACTGTTGTTGTTGTTGTTGTTCGGAGGGATTGAGTTTTGAGCAGCCCAGCGATCCTGGTTCGCACTCCATGCGGCTCCTCCGTCGAGCGACTCACTCCGATGGGTAAAGCTTGTTCTTGGTCAGCGTGAAGTCGGGACTGATGTTGATGGTATTGCTACGGGTGAGGTTTCTGAAGGGAATCGAAGAGCTATTTAGTAAAGGTGTTTAACCGAGTTTAGCTCAAGTTTACTCACTTTATGAACTGCGGCAGCAGGGAGGTCCAGCCGCTCTTGTCCTGCCTCAAAGTCAAGTACAACTCGAATATGGATACCGTATCCGGGTCCACCTTGAACGAAGCAATACGCCTGCAAAGGGAAATTAATAATTAATAATTTTTCAAAAATTTATAAACAAAAAATTCCAACCTGAACTTTAAAATAAAATAATTTTAATTAAATAGAAAATCAAATGAGTTAGATTAAAACAATTTTTACATTAATTTTCCCCAATAAATTTTTGTAGTGTATGAAAACGAAGAGCGGGATTTTTAAAACCGATAAGACTATCCAGTTATTGCCCATGTACTAACCTGACTTTATTGGGCTCGCTCTCGAACTCGATGAAGAGCGTGCAGGCCCGCTCGCCGCACGGCTCCCGCTCCGACATCCGGATGATCTCGGCGGCGATGCGCTGCGTGAGGTCGTTGGGCAGCGTGACCTCGGTGCAGGCCAGGTGGCGTCTCTTGGCGTCCCGCAGCTGGGCCTGCAGTTGTTGCGACAGTTCCCGCACCGCGCTGGCGCTCACATCGTCCAGGTTGTCGGCGGCGCCAAATCGAGCGCCGGCCGTCGACTGCAGCGGCGAGGCGGGCAGTGGGTGCTGATACTGATGCTGCTGGGCGGTACTGGCCAGCACGTTGGTCATGTACGCGTGGTGATAGGCGGCTGCACCGCTAACGGGCACCTCGAAACTGGCCGCCGCCATCGGGGAGGTGGCCTGTTTGGGAGTGCCCACTCCGGTCCCTCCTCCGCCACCCGCCAACGGACCACCGCCTCCCGACGCCGGGGGCGGCGCAATTGGGCGGGTGTTGAGAGCCTGATGCTGTCGCATGTGCAACACGGAGGCCGGATGGCCATCAACCACGTCGACGTCAAGGACTCCCTCGCCAACGGCTGTGTTCCCATTCACCACCGCGGTCAGCTCCGCCTCCTCCTCCAGCGGCGCCGTTGAAGATTGCCAGTCTGCAAAAACCAGAGAATACAAAAATCAGTTAAAATCGGTTAAAAAGTTTAAAGTTCCATTAACAAAGGAAAGTTCTCTGAAGCAATCAATGTCTAGAAAAACGCATTTCAAAAGATACGCATTGAACGCATTGTAAGTTTCAAATATTTTCGATTAAAAATCAAATAAACAAAACTTTTAATTCATCTATTGTATTAAAAATTGGGGTTTTTTATAGCTCCATTTTTCAAATACCTGACAAGTAAAAAAGCCTCCAAAACATTTTAAATGCCTTGAGCCATTGAACCACTGTTAACACGTTTCTCTCGATTCACGCGAGAATCGTGTTAGGAAATGTTTGAGTTACGGAAGTTTGACTGTAGTAATGGATGGCACACCGACCGGCAAAGAGTTTTACTTGGGAATGGGAATGGAATCGAAAAAAATCAGCTGATGTGTGAGACTCGGAATCCACAATTGAGTTCCACGCGATGGAACCGGAAAGAGTGCAGTGCGCAGAATCCCCTTCCAAGGAGCGAAGGGGGGCGAGGCGGGGGCGGGGGAAATCACCTGGCAACAACAGCTGGAAAATCAGCCGTTTCCATTTCCAGCTGACGCTCACTCTCTCTCTTTTTCGCTCTGTATCTTTTTCTCTGTCTCTCAAGTCAGCAGTTTATGCCGCTCCCCCTTCGATTTGACCCCCTTCGCACGACTTCCTCTCCGCCACTTGCTTTTATTTCTTTTGCTGTTACTTTATTACCCGTCCGACCAGACAATAAAAAAAGCGGAGCTCAACTCCTCTCAAAAACTTAACTTCACTGAGCTCCAAATGAAATGGCACAGTGGGACGAATCGTTAAACAAGTTTTTGAATAATCATACCCAAAAAAAGAGGGAGGTTATTAAAACAATATTTTCTTTTAAATTAATGTTAGCGACCATAACTTTATTTTTTATTCTAAGGGTACTTCGACAACAAATTCCAACTCCTTATGACTCTCTGTTCAATAAACATGTCACTGCAAGTGCAGCAGGCGGACACAAATTAACTACTTGGCTTGTCTCGACAACGTCTTGTAATTAGCGCGGAAACTCTTTCAAGGGGTTGCCTCCTATCACCATAACATATTCCCTTCTTTTTCCCCATGCCGCCCACTGTATAATCATTGCAACGTTGCTGAATGGACAATTTGCTCTCGTTAGCTTTGCAAGTATCTCTCTCTCCCTCGCCCCAACCCCTGCATCTTGCACGCTCTGTCGTTCTTTAGTCTTCCATCTCCCTCTGGCTCCTTGGGGCGCTGGGGGAGCACACCCGCGTAATTAAGAAATTAACGGCACATGTTTGCGGCTCTGCATGTGTCCACATGTGTGCATCTCTCTTCCTCTTCCACACCCACTCGATAGCCCGTCTCTTTCCCACCACGAATGTGTTATTGGATTTTGTCAAGTGCCGTTGTCTCCACAAAAGGGTTTGTGCAAAGTCAAAAAAGCGAAAGCCAAAAAAAAAAAAAAACCAAATACATAAAAAAACCGACAACGACCACACACTTAATTACAAAACACACAAACAAATGCGTACATTGTCAGTATGGATGTATGTACTTCTGCCACAACTGGGAACAAATTAGAAGCAACAAAAATTTTACCCATAAATGAATAAAATCTTGTTATCTTTTAGAGGTAATAAAAGAAATTCTATAAATCGCACCTATACATGTATCTTAAAGGTTACTCCGATTCTCTCCGATTCTCAATTTGCTCGACAAAAATTTTTTAAAGTTGTGAATTTAATCCTTAAGGGTTTTAAATCATTTTTTTTTTTGTTTTTTTCAGAATTAAAAAAAAAAGGCAATTAAAGGTAACAGCATTACATAAAAAGTGTAAGTTATGGACATTAACTATAATTATCGATTCCTTAACAAATACTTTTAAGATCATTTTATTACACTTTACAGATAAACTTAAATAAAGATGAAGACTTTTACATACATATATGTATGTATATATGTACGTATATATGTTCATATGTATGTACCTCGACAGTGCCTTTTAACCATATATATGTATGTAGGTAAATAAGCTCGTATTTATATATCTATGTACGCACATATATGTGTGTACATAAGTTAAAGGATGAACATTCAACCATATGTACATACATATGTATTTTGTGGGTGGTGTGTTTCTACATATTTGTATGCATATTTGCTTTTGAAAGAGAGATGGGCATATTGATGAACAGACATTCCCCCTCAACCTTGTCTACCCCTCTACACTTCGCTCTTCCCCTCTCTTACTTGCCGCAGCAATCGTGGAGCATTTGTGGTTGTGTATTTTGTGCATTCGAAATCAACAAGAACAACAACTCAGGAACCCAAGAATGTATAACAATACCTGCAAAAAGAAGAAGCACCGACGCAGCATCAGCCCATCCAAGTTAACGGTACACCGCAAACATCACTGTTCTTGTTCTCTTGTGTTTTCCTGTTGTTGTGTAGCGTGAATGAGAAGCAAAGAGGGGGCGCGGGGGTTGAGGGAAAGAGTGGGCGATATTTGAGCTTGGGGCTTATTACTTGGCTCTCTTAGTGCGTGACGTCGCTTGGCCTTGAGATTCAATTTTCGTGCATTTTGAAATGACAATGATGTTCTTACAGTGCATGTACATATACCTTGTAAGACTTTTAATAACTTATACACCATTTGTAATATACTTTATTAACAAAAAAAGTAAAAACTGATTTTAGGAAAAGTAAAGAAAAATTCAAAAAATTTAACCAAAATTTAGTTAATAATAATTTTTTGTATTATTTTTCATCCGTTGTTTACACTAATAGAACTAGAATAAAAGATGGCTCGGCTGGTTTTGTTATTTTTAGACCTACAGCTTAATTACCAAAGTAAACAGTTTGAACTGTTATCAAAGTTAATTGTTCGGTTCCATTCTATTTTGGATCTTTAATAAAAGTACGCTAATCGAGTTAAATTGGATGTAAGACGCTCCATGAACTGTGGCTCGTATGGGACTGTGTATGATTCTTCATATGTACATACATACATACATATGTGGGTCTGCATGTATTTTAGTTTTTTTTTTTTTTTTGAATCAATAAGCAGTTTATAAATAATTCATGACAACCAATTTTGGCAGTCATTCGCATTTGGCCCCCTAATGGAAATCTTTGGAAACAGCTCCGAATCTAAATTTGACAAACCTACGCATGGGGTTGATAAATATTAAATCAAGTTCTTTATAACCCTTTTTGCAAAGCCCAACAGGAGTATACATTTGTAATTGTAAGGAAACTAAAATGAGAGGGGGCACTCACATATGTATGTACATATGTATGTAATTTAATGCAAAGAAATGTATTAAATAATTAAATAACAATATTGCCACCCTCTCCTGTCAGCCCAGTTTTTGTGCCTCTCATTTTCTGACATCTTTTTTTGGGGACTTTTACTGTATGGTTTTGTAATCAAAGTGTGTTCAAATCATTTCCAAATCAAAACAGAAGCACAGCAATAATTTACTAAATTTAGTTTTATGTAATATTTAGTGTGAATCTTTTTATTACTGTTTTTAAAAATAAATTAAGTGTTCTTAATACTTCTACTATTATTTTTAACCCAGCTGTATATATTCTTTATGGAGAAAGAATAATGACCATGTGTGAGTGCTGGTGAGGCTGGCTTGTTCGTATGTCCTTCGAAAATAAAATTGCATGCGCTCAGTCAGTCATGAAATTAAATTGACTGCAAATACATACGTTGCCAGGGGCGTGGAAGGGCGGTAAAGGGGGTGGTACAGAGTCGGAGGTTTGGTGGGGTCTGCAGAGCTTTGAGCACGATGCAAGCCAACAACAAGGTGGAAATGTAACCAACGCGGCCCCCTCAGCTTTTTTCACGCCGAATCTGTCCATTCCAGACCATTAAGTCTTTTGATTAAAAAGAAATGGCCCTATATTTTGCATTGTTATCTATGTAGCATTTAAATTTACCCCAAACTTAAAAAAAAAACTTTTAACAATCTTTTAATACAAAAAATGGTATGCTTTCGTGGTTTATATAAACTTTCTGTCTTTTAATATGACAATCCCGGACATCGCTTAAAAAAAACATGAACAAATAAACTTTTAATTACGAGACTACAGATAAGCCATACTATAAACTACGTATGTAAATACAGATAAGCCATAACTATCCAAATCATCCTAATGTTGAAGAAAGTATTTACATAAGTTTGCGTCGGCAAAAAAGCGTTTGCATAAAAAAATTTGTTAGCGGGTAACGTCTTCGGTATACTTTTAATGTTAGATTAACATCATTGTATATAATTGAATATAATCATATATTTTCACTAAAATATTCACTTTTTTAACAAATATTCCCGCTAAAATTGGCAACACTGCGAGTAACGGTAAGTCTGCGGGAGTGTGTGTGCGAGGCGACATGTTGTTGCATGTCGCTACCACCGCCGCTTGTTGTGTTGTGTTCGCCTCTGGGTGATTTTACATTTTTTGCTGTTTTTGGCTTACGTGCTACGTGGCTATATGCATATGCAATCCCTCCATTTTGCCCAGACGGCTGTCCCCCGTCTAATTTGCCCAACTCAACTCTTTCTTGGTGCCGTGGTGCAAAGTTTAAAGTGACAGGATTAACAGGATGTTGCATAATCCTCCCGTCAGACACATGAACAGGATATGCCGGCCTGGCTTCGGACAGGAACAAAGTGCAAAATGCATAATGCAAATTTTACATTTTTGCAACCCCGCAAAACAGAGTTTTATCGGGTTGTAAAAAAGCACACAATTTCATCAATGAACATTCTATATTCGTTTCCCAAAAAAAAATGTTTTAAAACTGTGGGAATCCGAAAAGTAGGAGTTGTGTGCACGACTATCTCAATCAAAATCAAAAAACACTCAACGCATTCCATTTGAAATTGAAAAAAAAAAAACATTTTCCTTTGGCTAAAGAAATACTTGAATAAATGAATTTTATAATCTCTGGAAAATTTGCTGAAGACATCAAATGAAATGTTCCTGTACGCTATAAAATTAATTGAATAAAAAAAGAATAATAATGGCCCATAAACATGAAAAATAAAAATGTTCGTGGCACATTAAAATATCCGAAATGTGCCTTAATTGAGAATTCTTGCAAGAAACGACCGGAGTGGATTTTGTAAGTTCACAAGGTGAGCAGCGACCTTAAATTTAGTTTTAATGTGTGGCAGGGCATTAAAATTAATCAAGCGTATTAACAACACAGTAAATTTGTATTGCTTGCTGTTTGTACGCTTGTGCCGCATTTTATAACTTCTGAATCAAAAATGTTCTCTGATTCGAGACCAATAAAAAAAAAATCGAAATTTTACATTGACTTTAATTTTAACAAAAGGTGTTGTTTTTGGCAATCAGAAAAAGTACTTTTGTTTCACACACGATTTTTATATTTTCAAAGTGCTTGCTAGAAAAAACTTTCTATAATTGTTGAACTTTTTTTTACACAAGTATCACTGCAACTTAAAAACTTTTGCACTTTGTGATTTACTATTTAAATAAAGCAAGGTTTTAGTTTAGCACTAAATTCATTTTTCTTCAATATATTTCAGAAAACAGCTTGAAATTGTTTGTAAAGTTTACAATTCCAAACTTTTTATGAAAATTCCGCAACAGATAATGTAATTAAAAAGTTATCAAAAGTTTCTTAAAAGTTTGCAACTGAGAGAAGAAAAATAAAAACACTCCAACATAAGAAAATTTATCACAGCACCTATGTAAGTTCACTTCACAGAAATCCTAAGTTGTTCAGTAACTTTAAAACTTAAATTTATTTAGCTGTTAACTTACCTTTAATTTTATTAACACCGAATTTTCCCTGAATGTGATTTTGTACTGAGAGCACTTCCATCTTCATAGAATCGCCGTTGAAACTGCTACTTTGTGTGTTTTCAGCCGAGTGTGGTTTTCAAATTAAAGCCTGTCGCCTGCTCCCGAATTCGGTATAAAGATTTCGATCCCAATGCTAATCTCGACCGATTTTCGTTGCGTTTTATATATTGCGTGAGTGTGGATAGTTGTACTTAACGTACGTATAGAAATGCACTTTAATCACAAGAATTTGATTTTATTTCGCGTGTGTTGGGTGTTTGTTGTGTGGCGGTGAGAGTTCGATTTTCCAGCGACAGCGTTTAACAAACAATTGGAAAAGTATCAACAACTAAATTTGTTATTCTAGTTAAACATTTCAATTCAATACATGCTAATAAATCAACGCAAATTGCCGCCCCGTTCAGCTCTCTCTCGCTCTATTTCTCCTTTCCTATCTCGCTCTGTCTGGTTATTTTTTTTAATAAATTTAAGCACAGCACATGGTTTTTGATTTAACTCAAGACGTTGTTGTTGGTTGGACAGAGATTTTCAATTTATTTCTTCGCTTGCTTTGCTACATATGGCGGAGTTTCAAGTGCTGATGGCTGCGTTTCAGTAGAAGTGTTCTTTCTGCTTTGCCGTTTTCTGTTTCTATCTTTTGGTCCGATGCTTTTTTTGGCGGCCGCGTACGACTGCGGGATTTTCGGTGTGTGGAGCGTATTTAAAAACGGAGCTTCAGTTTTGCCAGAGAGGCACCTTTTGGGCTCTCGCTCTCTCTCTCTCTCTCTCTTTGCCTTCCTCAACGCTCGCTCAGCTGTGAATCGTTTGCTTGTGTGGGTGAGAGCAGCGCGGCGAGAGAGCTTGGAAAATAGAAGAAAAACTGGACTGCGGCTGCTGCTGCTGCTGCTACTGCGGCAACTTCGATAACGGGACACACTGGAGAGCTGAGCTGAGCGGAGCGGAGCAGTTTTCCAAACAGTTTTCCAAAGCTACTATCCGGCCGGCTCGCGTGCTGCTGCTTTTATACCGATTTTCCGCGAGGGCAGCGCTGCCGGCGTCGCAGCTTTTCCTTGGCCGTGAACTCTCTCTTGAGCGTGCTGTCTCTCTCTCTCTCTTTTCTGCCGGCCAGCTGCTGCCGATCATGTGTTGCCGTCGCCGTCAGCTGTTGTTGTTCGAGCTCAAGTCCACTCAAGAGCGATTGAGTTATTTGCCAGTGCTGCTCTCTTGAGCGATTCTGGAGAACTCTTGAGCCTTAGAACAGACTTATTGAAAAATTTATGACACATATTCTCTTTAAGTCGATTTGCAAAAGTGCTCAAAGGGAAACAATTTAGAAGCCTTTTAAGAAGTATATATTTGAGATTTACTCTCAAATAACACATCTAATAATACATATACATATTCATTTTTCACTTGAAGGTTTGCTAAAAACAAAAATTTTTTGAGATCTTTTGGGGATACATTACTACTTTTTTAATTAAATAAAATTATGTGAAAATTGTTTATTTTATTTAAATGTATAATATTTTTAAAGTTGAAAAATGCATTTAGGAACTTTCCACCGATCAAAATTTTTTTTTATTGAATTCAATTAACAAACCTTATAGTTTTATTGGTTATGAGTTCATAAAAGCGGTATTGTTTTTGGGGACATCATTGATAAAAACAACTTTTAGGATTGCAAATATGTTGTGAATATTAACGTTACATTAACATTAACATTAACAAAGTTTTAGCCGGTTTCTTAAGCTTTTCTTAATTTGTCATTTGGTCCTTTTTTTATTCGAATTTCGTAGGACGATTTATGGTGTTTTGGGGAATACGTCGTCCGCACACACTTGTGCATATATCGGCGTATATATAGTATAGTACAGTATGTACATATGTTGATGGCCATATATCTGGCCTTTACCGGATGACAAGACCCATTGTACCGCCTCTCGTTCTGGTGGAAATGGAAGGGAAAAGCAAGAAAATGGATGAAAATGCTTCGCCGACACAGGGCCTGTCACTGTTTTAACAATTCATCTTAATAGAAATAAAAAATGGCGCCGCTGGCGTTGGACAGTCCGGCCAACACTCCCCCTCAAGCCGCCCTTATCCCCCCTATCCCCCCTATAGCCACCCATTCCATATCGGATATTCCATATCCACCACCCACTCCCCTTTTCCTATTTGTCACTTGGCTCGTTGTGGGTGCTCCGCTCTCCATTGGATCGGCTTTTGGAGAAAGCATCCGTATTTCCCTCGTCTAGCTGCCTCTATTTTTTTTTCGTTTTTTTTTTTTTTTTTTTTGTGTGGCATTCGGGGGGATTTACACATGTCAGTTAATGCTGAAAAAATGTTTACACAACACAATTGCCTGGCGGAGGGCGAGGGGGTGGGGGCAGAATGCCCAGCATGGGGCTTCTGCCGCACCGATGTACAGAGAAAGAAATTAAAATAATAAAAAAAATAAGGGAAGACTGGCCATAGACCACTGCTGCGAGATGCCCGCTGCTCACTCTAAAAAACTATGTTTCCATTTAATGGTTTCTTTTTTTTAAACAAAAAACCACTATGCAAAAGTCAGACTTTAATCATACTTTGGGTTAGAAAATATGAAAAAATGTGGGAGCTGCGGTACATGAACTAAAGCTGATCTGTTGGTCAAATTTTAAGAGCTTTTTCTTGAATAGTTGAAATATATTGCACTAAGTCAACAAGGAAAATACATTAAACATAAAAATCATATTTTCTGCTGGATAATTATGAAAATGTTTGTGGAATACATTTCTAAGCCAATATGAAATGCTTATTTTGTTGTATAACAATAAATACTTAAAGAAATCTTTCAAACTATACATTTCTTTTTTTTACTTAAAAAAATTTATTTGTAGAATTTTTTTGTTACTTTGAATTTAAAGGTTTTTTTTTTCAACTGTATGCCAAAAGTTTTAAAGGCCAGCACTCCCTCATCTTCTTTTGAATTTTTTGTTGCCACGCTGCAGCAGTGTCGAACAGGATAAAAGTCAGTGGCATACAATTAATCAAATGCATGATTTATGTGAGTGAGTGCCACACGAGTTTAACCTAAATACGTCCCGTCGGGAGTTAGCCAAATGAGATGTTCAGGGCGGCTTACAACTCCCCTTGCCAAAATCAACCCATGGCAGCCTAATAGACCCTGTCACAATGTAAAGGCCTTTATTTTGCGAAGAACTGGCACTGCTTTTTAAAAAAAGTTTGCTGAAAGCATACTGATATTACTACATAAAATCCATTTAGGAAAAATGTGAACTATTTAATAGAAAAACGATAAGTTTCAGGGTAAGTTAAGAAGGTAAAGATCTTACCAATAAATTGTATATTTTACAGAGAGCGAAGGTAAAGCGAAAATTGAGTTAAATTTTATTGTTGAATAAGGTTATTTTTAAAACGTGAGAGGTCCAATGGGTTAAGAAGTTATTTTAGCATTTTTCTTCAGCATAATAAAAAAAAGGAAAACTAGCTTTTCAACTAACAAAAAGTGCCATGAAATCCATATAGCGTATCCACTCAGTTTGGGTGTTTTCTCGTGATTTGAAAACCTTTCCACAGGTGTAAAACCGAAACTGGAAAAGCCTGCCACGTTCGCAGACACACAAATGCACTTCGCAGGACAAATGCGATGCGGAATGGGAGCCGTAAGAAAATGTGTGGCTAAAAGCCTCAACCAAAGCCCCGACTGCTGGGCACTTAGAGCGGCAATCCTTTCTTCGCAGGATCAAAATTCCCAATTCCGAATTCCGAACGGAACCATTGGAGCTTCGCTGGGATTCCAAATGGGATACAAATGAACGCCTTTCCGTGCAACCCAGCGCTATCGTCGAATGGACCACTTAGTGGGCCTTTGTGGCGCAGGAGGAAAATGCGGAGCCGGCTCTTTTAATGCGTTGCACGTTTTCCCAATAAAATAGCTGGAACAACATGGCCAACAATCCTTTAAGTTCTTCGATACATCGCCTGGGAGCAGGAAACTGGAGCTAGCCTAGAGTGGCTTTTTAGTTCTCGCGCCCATTGCACAGTGAAAAAAAATGAAGAGCCCATTAATTAGCCGGATCAAGATTCAAAGTATTTATTTCTCGGTTTCCAAATATATGGGCTTTGGAATAAAAAATGGTATTGGCAATATATTTCACTTTAACAGGTACAATTTGTACGAAATTTGCTAGCGATTTATTCCTTTTTTTTATCGTTTTGATATTTATGAGGTATATCATGATCAGTTGCGAATTTTACTGCGAGTAAATTGGGATATAATATGGTTAAGTATGTTTTGTAATTCTGTTCTTTAACTTTTTACCAATATTGTGCATTAAAATATAATATTCTTACAAAATATAGGATATGATAGTTAGTTGTTGGATAGTTTAGTTGACCATCGCTATTAACTATTTGTTTTTCTCGGTGTGGACTTTGGTGCAAACTAGGAGATGCGGTAACTGCCATGAACATCGATTTTCATGTGATTTGTGTAGACGTGTTTGGGTTTTATTGATTTTCACTTGATTCCCTCCATATGCCAGAATATACTTAAGCCGGTACGTGCACATCTCCATCTCCATCTCGTTTTTGGTCCATTCGCATCGCAGTCCCTGTCGGTCCGCATTTTATCCCAGGTCGGTCGTTGTCGACAGCAGCAGCCGAGCAACCGAGCAGCTCTAATGTCAGGATCATGCGAGGTTATCAACATAATTTCGAAAACCACCCATCCGCACCAGGCATCGCCATCGCCATCGCCATCGCCGCATCCACATTCACAGCCACAGCCACTCCGCCCCCATCTTTCTAGTTTATGATGTAGTAGATTTCTGTTTCTTTTCCTGCAGCATCATGAAGATGATGACGACGGTGGTAGTGGAAGTGGATGTGGATGTGGATGTGGCAGTGGCAATGTATAGTGCTCCTCACGAGGAAGATGGGCGCGTGTGCGGTTTGATAAGACGCCAACGATTCGGCTCCATTTCATTTGACTTTCATCTAACATCCCATCCCCGGTTCTCTGCTGGGCCATATTAAAGGGCATCAGTCGAACTTTTTAAAGGGGAAGAAGTTATCCCTTTTCTCAGGCTTGATGGGAGGTTTCTACGAAGCGTTGCATGGCTACATATTAAGTTACCAAATATATGTTTCATTTTAAACCACTTAAGAAATTTAAATTTAAATCCAATGGATTCAGGTTTTTAAATGTATCCATTCAAAGATATACAAAAATATATAATCACTGCTTCCAAAGAATTTACTTTTTCTTTATGATCCTAGAGTTGTGCTCTAAAGAAAGATTGGCTTTGATTAATTTCTGTTCGCTTGTTAATTTTTAAAGTTCGGTTTGGGTTATAAGGAATCGCTGACCAACCAGACACTCCATCAAATTCGAAGTGCAGTAAGACGTCAAATCGGAAACTGCGAACCGACCAGACGACTGTTGCGCAACAAAGAAACTGAAGTATTCCGAGCAGCTGAGAACAAGGCAGGCAATTGCCATTTATTCGAGGCGAAGGGGAGCACTGGGGCAATCAAAGGGCCTGCCGGCATTTCTGGATTCCTGGACTCGTTACTCATTTCGTTTCGTTTCGGCTGACATCTGACATGATTATGTACATTTGTCCCCTGGTGGTGTCGCCCCCCTCCAAACCACCGCAGAAAGCTGACGCAATTTACATGCCAGGCCGACGAATAGAATCTGCACTTGGAGAATTCAGTTTGCACATAGAGAACTTTTCTAAGGAATGATGCTCCTAAGGAATAATGAGATCTGGAAAGACAAATATATTGTGATTATTATTATATATATGTTCATTTGAAGTATAAAATATGATCTGTGCAGTTTGAACAACGATCACAAATAGCATCTTTAAAAATTATAGGTGACCTTTTGAAATATTGATATAATATTAACACATTAAGAAAGCTGGAACGAATAATTCTTTCCCAAGAAATGGAAATTAATTGGGATAATGGTGAAAT